GGTTCCCTCAGCCAGAAGGTCCTGCTCCGGCGAGGCCCGGGGAGGCCTCTGCAAGGAGGTGACAATGGAAGCAAGGCCCCCCAAGGATGAATTTAACAGGCAGGCCAAAGGAGGTGAGAAGGGTGGCTCAGAGTGTGGGAACAGAATGTACGAGCCGTGGATGCTCGTACAGGCCCGGCAGCCAGTGCCTGTCGGGGGCGGGTGAGACGTGCGGCTGGAAAGGCAGCAGGGGCCCCGAATGCCCGTTTGGGGAGTTTGGACTTTATCTTCGGTTGTGCATCCCTAGATGCACCCCAACCTGTCTGGGCTTCAGTTCCTCAGTCTGTCAAATGGGGCTAAGCGTTGAGACAGGATTCAGCGGGGTGGCTGATGACCCGGCACACGCGTGGCCAGATACAGTAGGCGCCGAGTCGGGCAATCGCAGGAGGAGTTTGGGAGGGGAATGCCATAATCTGTCACAGGTCTGAGCTGGAGAGAGAAAGCATGGGCTTTGGGGCCAGGCTTGGTGAAAGGAAGGGAGTGCCGGCCATGAGCCTTGGCCCGGGGATCCTGGGGGTGTTTGGGAACACCAGTGCTTTGCAAGCACCCGGATCTGTGCTGTGCACCCGGCTCCAGGGCCATGCAACCGCCTGGGCGGCCGGCCGTAATTGGATTTGCCCAGCAGCTGTCAGAGCTAAGCGGGCCCACTTGATGCAGCCGCGGTTGGCCAGTAATTGGTGAAATTAGCAGGTCGGCAGGGGCACAGGTCAGGTGGTTAATGCTGTAGTGGGGGCTTTGATGAAGTTAGTCCCATTGCAGGGCTGGGAGCTGGGGTTCAACCTTCTGTGCGTCATGGGGCTCTCCTGCTCCTCCGGTAACATGGTTAGGAGACCTCCAGCTGCTGGTCTGTCCCAGAGGCTCCCGGAGGCGGGACCCGAGAAGCTAGAGGCTAGGCAGAGCCTGGAGGTGCGGCCAACAGCCAGGTCACCTACAGTGTCCTCTCAGCCAGGGCACTTGCAGCACCCAAGGGGCTTTGTATCCCCTAAAGATCTGGGGTGGTGCCCCTTGACTTCTTAGAAGAAACCTTTAACAGGTTCCCCTTGGAGATAAGTACCCAGGCCCACCTGCAGGCTTCCAGCACCACACCCTGACTTCCATGATGGGCGCTCCTCAGCTTAAGTGTGCATCGGAAAATGGGAATGAATTCCTCCCAGGTCTGTCTTTGGCCAGATCCCACCCTCCCCTATACGTTTATGTCCTCCCCAGAAGTCTCACCCATCATGAGTTCTGGAAGCTGTCCTCTGAACACACCCCTTGATTCTTGCTGTTCCCTGGAACAGTGTGCTCCAACCTCCTTTCATTTCACATCATTTATTGGACACCTACTACTTGCCAGGCCAGGAGTCGAGATGCATAGGTGAGCAAAACCTGATCAGGCCCCAGGATGATTGGTACTCACAGTGCTTTTCCTGGCCACGCCCATACACCCCCTCTTCGCAGCCTGGGAACCAAAGACCCTGTCACTAATCGGCCTTGAACCCTGAAGCCTGGAATCGCCTCTATTTCTGGCTCCACTCCAGCCCCCAAGGAATAAGGAATTGCCAGCATGCCGATCTTTCATAGATGCATTCGTGCGTGCGTGCACACACGCATACACACACACTGGCAGACACACTCACAGGCACACTTCGCCTTTGTTGCCGCAATTATAATTATTATTGTTATTGTTACCATTATTATTTTGAAGGTAAATCCTTTGGATGAAATCCTGGCTCAGCCACTTGCCAGTTATGTGACGCTCCTCTCAGTTTCCTCTTATGTAACGTGGGTCAACGACTACAATCTGGGAGAGCGTGGGCATCAAATGGAACTGTGGGTATGGCCCTCACTGGCCTCTTTGCTGTTCCTCAACAGGGCAGGGTTTGCGTTTACTCTTCCCTCTGTCGAGAATGCTTTTCCCCCAGATAACTACATGGTCCATGATCTCACTTCCATTCCCCAACTGAAAACTCGCCTGCCCGTGCCCTTGACCCCATCCTTCTCCATGAGCCTACCTGCCTGTATTTCCTCCCTCGCATTCATTATGACAGGGACAGGGGACAATGTTCCACGCATCTGCTTGCTCTCTGGCTCCCCGGTACAACGTCTGCCTCATTGGTGCAGGAGTCTGTCTTGCCCATTGCTGTATCCCCAGGACCTGGCGCTGTGCCTGGCATATAATAATACGCCCAATACATATCTCTTGAATTGCGCTGAATTAAAAGTGCAGGACACATCTGAAACTGGAGATTGCTTCAAAATAAAAATATACTTAAAAAATATTTTTAAAAGACTAGCACTCGGCAGGCCCACACAGAATCAGAATTCGGCACTGTCACTCCTTCCGTGATGGGAAGCTCACTCCCAACGGAGTGTGTCTGAGAATGTGAGGCCCGTGCCTTTTGTGGCTCCTTCAAAGCCCTAGTGCCAACACTGAGGACACAATGCCGAGGACAGAGCCCTGTGGTCCAGCTGGGGCAACCTCACTCAGGGTCATGGACAAACACACACAAGCATGCCCACACAAACACCTTCATACAACAAATATTTACTGTGTATCTACTATCTTCGTGCCCTGGGGTAGGTGCTGGCCGTGAGCAAAAACAGGATCAGAGCTCCTGTTTTTGTGTTTATGGTTCACTGGGGCAGCAGACTGAACTCAAACCATCTTCCACTTCTCTGTGCTGGACATATACAGACAGAGACGTGTGCACAGTGTCCACACATGTGACCCTCAGGCAAAAGTCCCTCCTACATAGGGTTACTTTGGGGGTCAATTGGAAATTATATAACAGGGTCCCAGTCCTCAGAAGGCCTCCTTGAAGAGGTGGTGGTTGAGCAAAGGTCTACAGATGAGTGGGCAATTACCAGGGAGAACAGCATGTGCAAAGGCCCTGAGGTTGCAAGACGTTTGGTTCCATGGAGAAACAGAGAGGAGGTCAGTATGTCTGGAGCTTAGAGAGTGAGGGTTGCCGGGACGTGAGACCAGGAAGGCGTTCAGGGGCCAGGCCACTAGGGCCTCATGGTGAGGATGAGGCCTGAGGTCTTTATGCTTAGAGCAGTGGGAGCCACTGACGGTTTACAGCAAGGCAGGTGAAGTGATGCAGCTTGGGTTGGGCACGATGGCAGAATGAAAAATCACTGGGGGGCAGGGGGCTGAGACGTGGAGCTGGGAGGCCCTGGGAGGATGATGCGGCCCCATCAGAGAGCCAACGGCAGGCCCAGAGTCACAAGGCTGGGCCGAGAAGGATAGGCAGTCATGGCACGAGAGGGGTCACAAACCACGAACATGGCCCACGTGTGCAGGCGGCACCCACGGGCCAGAGCGCACACGCCCCTCTGCGGCTGGGGCCCGGCCTGCCGAGCAGGTTCCCCATGCTCCCCAGCAACCGCCCCCCCCCACCCCCCGCCACATGCGGGCAAGCTGTTCTCATGAACTCACTTGGCACCTTTATTAAGCATCAGCCGCACTCACGCCCTGGGGCGCGGTGGCGGGTGGCAGGCCAGGGGCCCAGGCGGCCTGGGTCACTTGTCCACCTGCTTGAGCTGCTCCTTGCCATTGATGGTCACGGACCTGAGCCGCCCGTCCTCCTCCACCTCCACGCGCTCCTGCCCGTTCTCCATGATGTGCTTGGTGGTGACCTTGTGTCCGTTGACCAGCTCGGTGGACGACATCACCGACTTGAACCCCGAGCTGCCGGAGCCCCCGAAGGAGGTGGACGAGAAGGTGGTGTGGCTGGCACCGCCACCCCGGCTCAGGGCGTCGAAGGACGAGAAGGCTTCCATGAAGGCCGGGAACTCGCCGAAGCCAGCCGAGAAGGCCCCCCTCTCTCCCCTCAGGCCATGGCCCTGGCCAGCGCGGTTGCTGTTGAAAGGGGTGTCCCAGAAGTCCAACGAGAAGGGGTCCAGGCCGCCGAAAAACTCACGGAAGATGTCCTCGGGGTTACGGAAGGTGTAGCCGGTGTCGAAGGGGCTGCTGTGGGGGGTGCTGGCCCCGCCACCGGCCCGCCAGCTGTTGCAGCCCGCTCGGTCGTACACGGAGCGCTTCTTGGAGTCGGACAGCACCTCGTAGGCCTCGGACACCTGCTTGAACTTCTTCTCAGCCTCCTCCTTGTTGTCGGGGTTCTTGTCCGGGTGCCAGCGCAAGACCAGCTTGCGGTAGGCCTTCTTGATGTCCTCTGGGGAGGCGCTCGCCTGCACCCCCAGCACTTCGTAATAGTTGGCCATGCCGAGGCGGGGGTGGGGAGAAGGGGGAGGCGAAGGTGGGGGAGAAGGCGAGGTGGGCACCGGTGGCCTGGGTGGCAGGGATGGGCTCAGAGGAGGCAGCAGCTGGTGTGGCTCCCTCAGCGGGGGGGCCTTGCTGGAATCTACTGGCTCCGGGCACGGCTCTGCCCAGTGAGTCTACCCTTTCATAGTACCAGTTCTCAGGGACAGGTGGGCGCCTCCACTGACAGGGGGAGGGGGAGGGAGCACTGCCACAGTGGGGCCAGGCCAGGGGCAGGCCCCCCTGCGGAGCAGAGGCTGGGCCCTTTGTGACATCAGCCCCCCTGGGCAGGGCAAATCCCCCAGCTCTGGACCTGGACTGCCCCTGCCAAAGAGGTGGGCACCTTGGTGGGCCTGGAATTTGGAGTTTGGTCACGTTGGGTCTGTTGGCTGAGCTCCTGGGAGCCAAGGAGCAGAGGCAGAATCTGTCGCAGGATCGGGCCTAGGTGCGCCTTGGTCAGGGAAGGGAAGGGAGGCCTTCCTGCCACAGGCCCACTTAGCCCGCTGGCTGGGTTGTTGGGATGGAGTGAGGGGGCCCGAAGTGGGGAATCAGGCAGGGAGGCAGGCGCGGGAATTCATTCTTCTTGTACCCCTTAATCGGGTCAGATCCTCAGAGGTCAGCCCCACAAAGGCAGGGGTGTTCCATGCCTGGCGATCAGTAAATGTTTGTTTAATGACTGAGGCTCAGAGACATGCAGGATGTACTCAGGGTCACACAGCAGGTCAGTGAGAGAGAGACAGAGGCAAACCCAGGGCTGTCTGAGGACAGCAAATGGAAAGAAGCATTCCGTGCAACTCTGGAAGAAAGAGAAATCGGGATTGATAATGGGTGTAGTGGGTTAGATCGTGGCCTCCCCAAAAGCTAAGTCCCTGTCCTAATCACTGGAACCTGTGAATGTGATCTTATATGGAGGAGAGATCTTTGCAGATGTAATTAAATTAGGGGTGTCGAGATGAGAGCATCCTGGATTATCAAGTGTCCTTACAGAGACATACAGAACAGAGGGGTAGCAGTGTGGCGCAGGGAGAGCCCGAAGTCGCCAGAGGCCAGAGGGAGGGTGTGCGGCCCTGTGACATCTTGCTCGTGGACTTCCGGCCTCCAGGACTGTGAGAGGTTACATTTCTGCCGTTTGGGGCTTTTGTTCTTTTTTTTTTTTTTTTTTAAGTTTATTTATTTATGAGAAAGACAGAGACAGCGTGAGTGGGGGAGGCATAGGGAGCGAGGGAGACACAGAATCCCAAGCAGACTCCACACTGTCAACACAGAACCCGACGCATGGCTCGAACTCACGGACCGTGAGATCACGACCTGTGCTGAAACCGAGAGTCGAACGCTTAACCGACTGAGCCACCCAGGCGCCCCTCTGTTAAGTCACCCAGTTTGTGACTTAGTAAACTAGCAAGGTGAGTGAGGTAACCACAGTTTCCTAGGTATTTACATTTCCTTAATTCTTGCTCCCATGGGGGATCGTACTTAGAATTAGCAAGGAACTATACTGATTTACTGATTGACGTCTCTTACTCCCTTCCCCTCACCCCCCTCCAGTCGGGGTGGAACACAGGCTAAACTGCCTAGTAAGCGCATCCGCGAGGAGAGAGCTGCTGTGATCACTAAGTCCTACCTAAGAAGGCATTCCTGGGGCGCCTGGGTGGCTCAGTCGGTTAAGTGTCTGACTTCAGCTCTGGCCATGATCTCACGCTTCCTGGGTTCGAGCCCTGAGTCGGGCTCTGTGCTGACGGCTCAGAACCTGGAGCCTGCTTCGGATTCTGTCTCTCTCTCTCTCTCTCTCTCTCTCTGCCCCTCTCCCGCTTGCACTCTGTGTCTCAAAAATAAATAAATGTAATAAAAAAATTTTTTAAGAAAGCATTCCTCTGCCTTCTCTCCTTCCTTCCTTCCCTGCCCGTCTTCCTTTCTCTAGTCCCTACCCCACACCCCTGTCTGCCCTCTTCTCTCTCTTTCTCTCTTCCTTCCCTTCCTGTCAGTGCTACGCTCCCGGAACCTAACAGGGAACAGCAGGTACTGGCCAGTCCCAAATGCCAGGAGGTGGAACACAGAATCTGGAGACACTTTGCAAGCCTGACCTAGAATGAGAGACGCTGTCACCCCCATACACCTCCCCAGGAGCAGGACTTGTCCTCTGTGCCCCGTGTCCATCTGCCACATGGGCTGACACCTAACACGTATCACTCGGTAGAGGAAATAGACAACCGAGAATAAGTCCACTGAGTGTAGCTACGGATGAAAATGCTTCTTTATTTTTGTAACTGTTTCTGTCACTGCAGTCACAGCCTGTTCTCGACGGGCCTGCCCATTGGAGCTGGGGAAAGCCGCCTGCCTGCCCAATTCTCGGTGACGACTGTGGGTACAGTGATGGCGAAGGGGGGTGTGCGGTGGCCAGTAAGGCATCATTAACATGGTGGAGGTGATTAGGGTAGCATTTCTGACGTGGAGGCAGTGGTGGGGGTGAGAGTAAGTATGGCGGTGATAGTGGAGTTGATAATGACAGACGAGGTGCTGGTGGTGGTGACACTGACCCTGGACGTGTAACAATGGACGGGATGGACGGTCATTGGGTACCATTGATAGTGACAGTGGAGGTGTGATGGGGAGGTGATGGAAAGGCTACTATTGGGGAGGGTGGTCATGGCAGCCATGGTCCTGGAGGTGGTGACGTTGGTGACGGTGATGGTGACGAAGGCAATGGGGTAGAGGAAGTTGTGTGTTGTACAGCTTTGCTTTGGTAACAACCCCCACATCCCAGAGCCTTATGACAGCCATTTAGGCCTTGCCCACTTCTGTCAGCTGCTGGGGTTCCAACTCGTACATCTTCTCATCTGGGATTCCGGATGAGGAAGGGCTCCGGTCTGGAATGTGGCGTTCTCGTGGCAGAGAGGGTGGGAGAAAGAGCCGGGCGAAAGGCAGAGTGCCTCTGGAAACTTCTCCCGGGATGGGATGTACGTCACCCTGGCTCATGCCATGAGGCCAAGGCCAGCATCAGCGAGGTGGGGAATGGCACTCCTTCAGGAAGGGTCCGCACGTCTCAGGCTACAGGTGGGGAGGCACAATCCTCTTAGGGAGTGGGTGATCCTGCAGCATGCGGGGGGTGGGGGGTGGCCCTGGTGCTGCCGGCGATGGCAATGCTCTGGTGACCGAAGCGCTGCTCAACACGACAGGACCTGTGACAGCAATGGAGGGCTTACTGACAACAGTCACGATGTGCTCTAGCTACGGTGTTGATGCTGATGGTGATGAAGCAGCAGGTGTGGTGTCCTGGAGTTTCTGTTGCTAACTCAGCGTTGCCGCCTCCCTCCTCCGTGGTCCCCTCGGCGTCCTAGAGAATTCGGGAAGATTTTCCAGAATCCCCTTCCCCATGTGGTTCCAGGGTGGAGTCTGCCAATGCATGAGCTACGGAAAGCGGAGGAGAGAGAGGCCGTTGTGGGCCGATGGCAACTGGAGGTCTGCAGGAAGTTCTGGGCAACCCTCTGAGAACCGCCCCCCCCTTCAGAGATGCAGGCTGAGATGCTCAGGGGCAGGGTGGCAGCGGGGGGGGGGGGGGGGGGGGGGGGCTTCCCGGAAGATCGTGAGATTCCAGCAGCTTCCAGGCAAACTCTTAAGATCTCACCACTTTGGGGCAGCAGACCAAGACCGTCAGCGATGCCTCGTTTCCCTGATCTTTACGCGCCCAGGTCGTCCCCTGGTCGTGAAAACTCACACTTTGTGTCTTCATACCTGTCACGGTCAGCAGCTGTGTGCACGCGGTCATGGTGACAGTGGCTCAGGGGAAGGTGGTGCGGGCGGTGGGGGTGACAGACGTGACAATGACGGGGGGCATGAGGAGGGAGGTGGGCAGTGGGGACACTGGGCCAGGGGACACCGGTGGTGACACAGGTCGTGGTGACGACAGTAATGGTAGTGGCAGTGACGGTAGCAATGGTGTCGTGGCGACGGTGACACTGGCTGAGACGAAGATGGTGTTGGTGACACTAATGGCGGTGACGTGGGTCAACGTAACGTGAACACTGTCGAGGTGGAGGCGGGTGGTGACGGTGGCGGTGGCGTCAGAGGCGGGATGTGGCGGTGGTGACGGTGTGATGATAGTGACCTGGTGCGATCGCTGGCGATACTGGAGGAGGTGGGGGCGGTCATAATGGCGATGGTAACAGCGATGGTGGGGAAGAGGGAGGTTGATGGTGGACATAGGTGTGGTCATACGTTTACGGTGATGCTAATGGGGTCATGCAACATCCGTCGGGGAGTTGGTGGCAATGGCACCACTACAGGAGACGCCTGAGGGTCCCATGGCCACGCAATCAGGACGCTGTGTGGCTGGTTACATCCAATTAAGAGACAAGGGACCCAGGATGATGAGATGCTTCCCTCGACCCAGGGTCCCCTCTGCCTGCCTTGCCTGAGACTTGACCTGTAATGTCTTTGCAAAGAGGAACTTTCCTGTGGTCCTGGAGCTCCCCCAGCAAAGATCAGCACTGTTCTGACCCCAGGCCCTGTGCTCAGCCTGAGGCCCCACCCTAGGGTGGTCTGTCTGTAAGAGGCAGCGAGGATGGAGACAGGGCTGGAGACCCCCAGGGTTCAGGGCTGTCCCAGGGCTTATAGGATGGGCATACAACACAGAGGCAGATCTCAGCTGCTCATTGCCCAAGGAGCCCAGAAGATGGGGGGCCCTCTCCAGCTTACCAAGGACGAAGTGGGGCGAGCTTCCTACAGACGAAGGTGTGGAACTTGGCAGAGGTGATTTTCCCTGCTGAAAATGGTTCTGAGTCGTGTCCTCTGAAATCCTAAGACCAAAAGTGTTAAGAGCAGAGGCGTCTGGGTCCCTCCCCAGGGCCTGCGTGAGGACACAGGGATGTGCAGGCATGACTTGAGCTCAGCCCCCACAGCCTTGACCACCACTGGCTGTTTGCTCACTTTCCCTCTCTGACCCTTGCTGTCCTCATTCACCGGTGCG